TTTTATCTACTTCAATTATACTTCTTCTGGGCTCTGTTTTATCATCTCCCAAGCTAAGCTTACTCGTTTCTACCTAGTTTGTTGTGTGTTGGCTTGGACTTTAATTAAGATTTTCTTGTGATTATGGTTGATTTTATTGTTAGTGCCTGAGTTTAATCTAGTTGTGTCAGAGTTTCAAGTTGTTGGTTTTGGTTTAATTTCGTGGGCTTGGGGTTTCATTTTGTTGCCGTGTTCAGAGTTGTTCTTTGTTTGGTTATTGCTCTGTCGACTATCCGTTGTCAATTAATGGCGTGTTATGTTCATTTAGCCTTGAGTGTTATTTTGTTCTTAGTTTGGAGCTCCTTTTGAGATGGAGTTGGAATTGTGTCCTACTTTTGCTGAGTTCCATTTTTCCAATGAATTTAATGACAAGCATGTTGTCCGTATTCTTGATTCATTGGCCTGTCTGGATGATGTATTAGTCCGTTCTAAAGTTTTTAAGGAGGAAGGTAATTCCTTGTTCAAAGAAAGAAAATTTAAACTTGCTTTGTCTAAATATGATTTAGCGAATAAATTGTTTTATTTTAGTTTGCCATCAACTTAGGAGGCTTTTTCTATGTTTCGCTCATTAGCATTTGCTTTACATATTAATCTGGCTGTGTGTGCCCTAAAATTACAGGAATTTGATAGAGTAATTAAGTTATGTTCGTTTGTGTTGAGGTTTGACTCCTATCATACCAAAGGTTTTTGTAGGAGAGTCTTGGCTTTTAAGGGGTTAGGCGATCGTAAATCCGCCAAATCCGACCTTTGCAAGGCAGTTAACTGTGATCCGAGGAATTTGGAAGCGTTAAAAGAATTACAAAAGGTTGAAAGACTTTTAGGTTGTGCCTCTTTCGTAGATCACTATTTGGGGAGTTCAAGGTCTAAGACAATCCTTGAAGCTACCTCTACTTCGGACATGCAAGGAGTTTGTGATATGGAGGTCATTGCAGAGGTGTTTCCCAATGGGGATGATATGGAGTGTGATGTTGTAAGTCCTGTGAGTGGGGATTCTTCGCTAGAGTCAAGTGCTTAGGTCCCTAATGTTTTGGGAAGTGAGTCTCATTCGGGGTTAATTCAGCTGGATAATGGTTTACACCAACACAGGTTCCGATCCCGTGGAAGTTCTGGTTCATCTTTTCAGATTACATCTTCTAATTTGCAGCGTCTTATGCATAGTGATTCAATGTGTTTAGTTTTTATCATTCAAAGTCTGTATCAGTAATAACAGTTCGGGTTGTCCCGGGTAAAACTCAAATCTTGACAGAGGTCCCTTTAGGTGAAAAATCCAGGGAAGCAGAGACCTCTATTCCTTTGGTTCCTCCAGTGTGTGGCTTGAAGCACCAAGCGGTTCCCCCTCAAAAGGTCTTGCGTGCTTCTTCTCAATCGCCCACAGTTGACACAACTGCAAATCATGTTTCTGAAGAGTTGATCAAGGCCTTGGAATTTCAAGATTGCCCGCACATAGGGGCTACTTCTCCTGAGTATGTAGGCAGTCTTCAGGATTATGCATTTCGACATCCAACTTTGCCGTCTAGGCTTAGGGTTTCGTCTCGCTTGAATCGCCAACAACGGACTATTTCTCATTCTCGTCTTCGGACATCTGGTAAGATGTGCTCTGATAAGATGTTTACAGGTTGCAGGGCAGATCGTGCGGGTTCAAAATGACGTACGATTTCGCCTCTTGTTCCGGAGTATAGCAACTTGGATCGGGTGAAGTTTGCTCGCATTGGTCCTGTCTGAGTTTTTGTCACTTAATGTAGTGGTTGTCTTGTGTGTGTTGTTGTTTAGTATTTCGTTTTTAGATCCTCTTGTAAAAAAAAAACAAAAAAAAAAGTTTATAAGAAAAACCCTTCTATAAATTTATAAGAAAAAAAAAAAAAAAAACTTAATTTTAATTAAGAGTATTTTTTTTTCTTATTCTTGGCCATTAGCGGTTCACTTTGTAACAATTGTTTTAAACCACTGTATTGCCAAGTCAAATTTATATCATTTCCTTTCCTTATTTTATTTCAACAGAACTAAAAAAAGAAAAACAAAATCAATTCTTTATCCTCACATACATATTAATTCTTAAAAAAAAAAAAAAAAAAAAAAAAAAAAAAAAAAAACTTCCACTCCATGCATATCTCCTCAATCTTACGGCATCCTGTACCCTCGTTAGTCTGTCGTCATCACCAATATCAATCAGTTTAAATCTTATGTAAGACGGGTGTACATTAATTTTATTGTAACACGATTAATTTGAGTAAACTTAAAGTATTTTTATAGTAATTTTAACCCTTTAAGGGTAACTTTTAACTTTCGTTGGTTTGAATTTTATTTTAATGTGTAATTCTTATAAATTCATGATTGCATATTATAAAGGCTAATATGATTAGTCTAATAAATTATAAGTTTTTGGTAAGATAAAATTTATTATTACAAAAATAATAACTTTTGTAATATAAAAGATAACTTAAATACTTTTAAGATAAGTTTAACCTGTCTTGCAATAAATTAACGTACACTCGCCTTCTTAGAGACTAAGTCAATCAATCAAGCGACCAACCGACTATTCAACTCATTTTTCAAGATTGTAATTTCCCTTCGGTCGTACATCTTCCAGAGGCATATTAGGGGTGAGCGTGGGTCAGGTAGCCGAGCCACTATATATATCTTATCGGATAATCGATAACTAAGACCACTAAATTGACATCCATGATGAACCGAATCGATAAGTTCGAGTACCTAAATTTCGGATCAGATACTCGATATGATATCCAATAATATAATGAAAAGTTCGACTTTATTATTTAGTTATATGATATCATTCAATAACAATTGACAACAATACCACATGAACTCAACTACATTACTAATAATATTACTAATCATTTAAATTATAAAAGCAATTATGACGTAATGTAGGAATTTAAATTTTTTATAAATACATTTAAGTAGGAAAAAAAAATTATGCTTATTGGATCGTTGTCAGGTAACCGTTATTTAAAATGTTCTGATAACCATATCCGATAGTAAATTATTATTGGATTAGGTACCCAAATCGTTTTGGTTATTGGACCGGGTACCCCTATATTCAGATCGGATATGGATCAAGTTTTCGATTTTTCGAATTATTTTACTCAGCCCTATTAGAGATATCAAGAGAATATTTCTTAATTGATATCAATATTATCATCAAATCTTTTATACTAGATGGAAGCCCGTGCGATGCACGGTTTTTTCATCTAAGATTTTTAATTATTTAATTTATTGTATTTAATAATTTCAGGCAAAATTACAAAAGTTTAATACGTATTTTTTTTTACTATAATTTATAAAAAATTTATAAAATATAAATAAATTGTAAATATGATATTTTTTCCGTTATATAAAATCTTTAATGTGAAATGGTAAATTTTTAATAATTTAAATCCTAAATCATTATTCATTGTTTTACCATATCTTTTATTTTGATATAATCACCAACCTCGTCCACAACCAACCTACTACATCAATGGATAAATTAAACCGTGAAATGTTAGCCAAACTGAAATTGATATAAATTAAATCTTTACATTTATATAAATAAATCAATATATTAACCAATATACGAAAAATTGTTGCGATATAAAGTCAAATCTATGCATTGGAATTTTTTCATCATCTCCAAAAATAACCAAAGCCATCCATATATTAAGTAAAAAACATATATCGTATGCCATTACATAAACAAATAATCGTTAAGTATCCTAAATAAATACAATGTAACTAATAATTACAAATATAAATTTAAACATAAGATTTTAAAAATTACCCGTACATTGATGACCTAAAACTAACACAAAATTACTAACACAAAATTCGCTTGATGGGGTTTTGTATTGATATGAAATTTTATTTGTGTCGTATGATGTGTTAGATCTGCATGGAAAAAAACATTTAGTAAATAAACATAAACATATAATCGTTGAGTATCCCAAATTAATACAATGTAAGTAATAATTAGAAATACTAATTTAAACATAGGATTTTAAAAATTAAGCTAAATATTACCTGACTATTGATGACCAAAAATTAACACAAAATTACTAACACAAAATTCACTTGATGGGGTTTTTTATTGATACGAAATTTTATTTGTGTCGTATGATGTGTCAATATATAATGGTAGATATCACAAATTTTAATTTAATTATAATTAACGAATAATTTGCATTTCTTATCATAAATACTATCAAAATTTATCATATAATGATAGGTATCAAACTTTATTATAAGCGTTTATATTTATTAGTATATTTTTTTTTTGGATTTCTTATACTCGTAGTATTGAATTAATAAATTTATATTTTCCTATATTTTTAATTTTTTTTCATTAAAATAATTTAATTCGTGGATTATAATCTATGCGACATTAAAATTTTAAATATATCAAATCTAATCCGTTACTTTTATCTAGGTGGCGACATAATTTTTTACTTCAAAAATAAAATACAAATCTTTCTTCTTATTGGTCGAAATAAGAATATTTCTTACGTGACGCTCCAAATGCTCTTCAAAAATGCCTACTTTATTTATATATATTAGATTATATTAGATATTAGATTAAATTTGGTATAATTGGATATTATGCTAAGTAAATATCTTTGATATTATATTTTGTAATCACTCATGATATCATTTGATTCTTGTGAATAATAGAGGTTGTATTAGGATTAATCTTTTGTAACATTATAAACAATTGTACCCTTTCATCAATATAATCAACCTTTTTCTCATTCTCTCTATGCTTTCAAACATTCTCTTTCTTATAAATCTAAAAAACAAAAAAATAATAATAAAAAATAAAAAAAAAACCAATTTTAATACGAATTACGGAGTACGTGATTTTAAATTTTTTTATAAAAAGCTTAAAAAAAAAAGATAGAGAAGTACGACTCCGTTTATCAAGGGGCCTACATATTTATTTTCTATATATATCACTAGTACCACAAAATATTACACATACATTTCATTACAAACATCCTCATATTTGAAAGAAAGAGAGAGAAAAATGGGGAAAGAAGTGAAGGTGTTGGGAGCATGGCCAAGCCCATTTGTGATGAGACCAAGAATCGCACTCCATTTGAAATCAATTGAATATGATTTCATCGAAGAAACAATGCAACCAAAAAGTGAGCTTTTGCTTAAATCAAACCCGGTTCACAAGAAAATCCCGGTTCTTCTTCACAATGATAAGCCGGTTTGTGAGTCCCTCATTATTGTTCAATACATTGATGAGGCCTTTTCATCTGGTCCGTCCATTCTACCTTCTGATCCTTACGATCGTGCCATCCAACGCTTCTGGGCTGCTTACATCGATGACAAGGTAATCACCTTTTTAATCCCACAACATTAAATTATTGTCTCATATAGTGTTGTTTATAATTATATAGTCAGATCTATTGGTACTTTGATAGCTTTTAGGGTTTGTTTGTTATCGTTTTGAGTTTTACTTATTGACGTTTAGGAGCTTTAATTTATAATGTTAGTTTCCGTGATATTCAAAATTAACATCACTTGTATTATACAGAGTATGTATGAGTAATTGAGTATAGCCAATATTAAAATTTGCACAATTTTTCTTAAATGAAATATGGCTGTGATAAGAATTAATTCTCTCTCTTTGTTTTCAATTACTTGTATTATACTAGTTGTTGGGAAAGTGGAAATGCTTATAAAATTGTTTGAATTTCTGGAACAGGTAATTAAAAAAAAATGAAAATATATGGGCTTTGATTATTTGTGCTAGATCCAGCATTTTATGTGATAAATGATAAGTGATCCACATTTTAAGCTAATACAAGTCAAGATTAAGTTTCGCTTTAATAACCAACTACTATCTTGTCGTTTACATTAGACCTGACAATCCTGATCCGACCCGCGACTCGAAAGTTGACCCGTACCCAAACTAACCCGACTCGATCCGAAATGGAGTTGACCCAAACTTGACCCGATGCCTGAAATGACCCGATCCGAATTGACCAGAAACCCGAAGTGACCCAATCTGATTTTAGCCCGAATTGATTGACTCGAACTAACCCGAAACCCGAAGTGACCCGACCCGAACTGACCAGACCGAACTGACCTGAAACCCGAAGTGATTGACCTTAACAGACCCGAAACCCAAAGTAACTCGAACTATAATTACCTTATACCCAAAAGGCCAAAATGACTCGAACTAAAAATAATCGGTACCTAAAATTATCTAACTAATTTAGGACTAATTAGTTATAATTTGACCTGAATTGACCCAACCCAAATCGACCCGACCCGAACTGACACGACCCGAACTAGACCCGAAACCCAAATTGATACGACCCGACCCGAACATATGTTGACCCGAAATTGACCCGACTCAAAATGACCTGACCCAAACTCGATCCGAACGACCCGTTTTTCAGATCTAGTTTACATTAAGGGCTTGTTTGGTTACAAAAAGAAAATGAGGGAAGTGGAAAATTATGGGAAATAAAAAATGGATGAGTTGTTTGGTTGACAATAAAAAGTGTAAACGTGGGAATTGCAAATTTATGGGAATTGTGACTTCCCACAAACCATAGGAAGTTAATTACCCAACCCACCTAGGGAAGTCAAAATTCTCATATTTTGCAACTTTCTTCATGCCAACCAAACAACTTTAGGCAATTCATGAAAAGTAAATTCCCATATCAAACAAACAACACCTAAATGCTTGTGTACTATTCGTCAAATTGTAGTCATAGTCCATGCCAAATTGCCAATTTCAAGAATTTGAGACAAGTATTTAGAGTTTGAATATTATATTGGAACCTATAGTACTTGTTTCGGGGTTTTCTGATGTCCTGCGGGAGAGTTACAATTCCGAGACTGGAACCGGACGCCTGTACCTGCAAAACAAACGGATGCTCCAGATGATTGGAGATCCGCCTCCGACGGTCAAGTTAGTACTTGATTAAGGAGTAATTAATGCGGAAATTAAAGTGATTGGGTCTCTCTAGGTGAGAGTGTTTTTTGTGTGTAATCTGCGTTTTTTCCCTTAATGAGGATTAAGGGAGGTATTTATAACCTCGGGAAACGTGCCAATCTAGATTTAGGTTAACCTTGGGCTGATTGGGCTTCCCTCGGAAGTTGGGCCTAGGTGACCGGCTTCTCCATTAGGCATGGAGTATGCCACATGTCATGACATAATAAGTCCAGGGTGGACGAATAAGCGTGTGCCACGTGGCAAGCCCTGAGAGGTCCAACTGCGGGACACTTGGCAGGACCTGATTGGCCCACGTGGCGCATTCCGATTGGTGGGAGCAAAATCCCCTAATCATTTGCCCCTCACAGGTGGCACGTGACTGGTCACGTGTTACCTGTGACAGGTGTCGCCCTGTAACAGGCGACGACCTGCTACAGGTGTCACTCGGCGAGAGGCCGAGAGATTCTCCCGCCAAAATTTTGAATTCTGGAAGTGACCCTTCGCCTTCTCACTTCGCCTATATAAAGGAGTGTTGACTTCGGTCAATTTCACACTTGAAAACTTTGTGAGAGAACATTCGGACCCCTGAACTTGCTCTGACATTTTGGACCCTTTCTGCCTACCGCTTGCTCTGACAAGCCAACTGCAAAGGATTTTCAGAACTTCATCAATCGTCACTCGTTCAAGTAACCGTCGGTTCTCTTACTCTTAATTTTCTCTTTACTTTATTCTTTTTTGAAATGGCACCACAGAAACACACGACACGACCTAGGTTAGTGATCAGCCGGTCACCGGGGACGGCTGAATCTAGGACTAGGAGTGCCGCCTGCCCTTTTCTGGACCCATCTTTGCCCTTTATACAAAGTTCGATTGTATCTGTGTCTATGCAGAGCATGATGGCCAGAACAAAAAAGATTGCCAGGATCTCAAGCTCAGACGGCTCCTCCCACAGGGTGCCGATTAGTGAAACATCTGACCAGGCGCCAGATGTGGAAGTGAAACAAAGCGGCTTGAAAGCCGGCAGTTCTGAGGGAGGAGTCAAAGTGACCCCTTCCCATTTTACAGTTGACAATTCTACATTCTCTCCTGCTCCTTTGAAAGGAGAGGAGGCGGGCCCCTCCGGGAGAGGAGAGGAGTCGTCCTCTTCGGACTCGTCAGAGGACGAATCCGAGTCTAGCTCTTCTGGCCATGCTTCTCTGGACACAGAAGAGAAAAACAGTCGCCTACAAGAGGCGAGGCTTTCTCACGCAGTTGAGAAGGGGGACGATTGGACGGAGCCATCCGCCTCTCACCGAGAGCAAAATACCCCCTACTACTGCACGGTACCTCGGGGCCGGATCACGGCCATGCAAGAGAAAGTGGGGAGCTTTATCGCAAACCACACAATGGGCCCCGGCTTTTAGTGTTCGTGCCGGATCCAGAGGACACAGTCGTCTGGCCGGCTGGTACCAGTTATGATGGCGCCTGCTTTGGCTGCTACGAGACGGCCATCAAGGCTGGGCTGCGCTTCCCACTACATCCGGCTGTTCAGCGGATCTTGGATGGGTATGAGTTGGGGTTATGGCAGTTAGCCCCGAACTCCTGGGTCAACATACTCGGCTATGTGGCCGGGTGCGAACTGCACGGGGTGGAGCCGAACTTCGAGGCTTTCGCCCACATAAACTACCTCAGTCGGACCCCTAAGGCAGGCGGTACCGGCTGGTATCAATTGACGAGCCACAGGGGCTACCTCATGACGAGAGGTAAAGCAAACAAATGGAAGGACTGGCGGAGCACCTTCCTTATCATTGAGAGTTCAGACATAGAGCTGAACAAGCGCTTCAACAGGTGGAACAGGAATCCGCCCCTTCTTGCAGGCGGCCGCAGCATGCCGCCTGTTCCCTCCAAGGCTAAGAAAGAGATCCTAGATAAAGGACTCTTCAAAGTAGAGTCGAAGGTGAACTCTACTTCAGGGGTACGAGAGCAAGTACCCCTGCACTGCGTCCCGAGCTTCAAATGGCTCTACGACGAGTACTTTTTGGTCGCCTGTGGCCTCAGCAGTCGGTGCTCAAGAGGTAGCCGGCCTGTCGAATACTCTGTTGTTCCGTGCATTTCTTGTTATGACTTTTATTAACTTTGCTATTTGTTATTGCAGCGGACGCCATGAGCAAAATTACCGCCTCCAAGACTGCGGCGGCCATGTTGCGGGCCTCCATCATGCAACAGTCTTCAACCGACTCCCCCAACAAGGGGGCACCCTTGGTGGACTTCGAATCTTTCACCCTCTTTTTGGAGTTGTGTTTATGCATATACTGACTCTTTTCTTCTTTTTTAGACGGGCGCTCCAAGAGCTTCTTCTTCCCAACAGCCGGACCCCAAGGCCCGGAGGACGATTGTTGCGAGCTATCCTGGTTCTGCCAGGAAACATGCGGCGGCTGAGAAACAGCCGGCCACTTCTTCTAAAACTCCAGCTGGGCCACCTAGAAGTATGAAATTGTCCTTGTAAATTTTAGACTTGCTCCCTCCTTTACTAGGTCTAATCCGTTTGTTTATGCTTGATGCAGCCGACCCTCAGGAGCCTGACTTGGTCGAAGTGGCCAAGTCTATGATCAAGGCCGTACCTCCAGCTAAAAGGGAGGCGGTCAGGGGTGTCGGCACCCTTGACCTAGACGGGATTGCAGGGGTCCTTGCTGAGGTATACTTAGCACATTTTTTAGTATTTGAATTCCAGGACGCCTGTTTTCTTTTTTGTTTGGAAACTGACGCTTGTTCCCCTTTTTACTTAGGCCCTGCTCCGAGTGAACGGCCTTCGCAAGCCGCTTGACCGGAAGAACAAAGAGGTAAAGGCTGCAAAAGCTATGGCCGCCTCTGACTGTGATAAGGCAATGTTTCCAATTGCCCAAAATGAAGTTCTGACAATTGATATTCTTTATTATCAAGCGCAGGCTACCGCCGCTATCCGGGCTCAGTTAGAGGCGGCCCAGAAGAGGAATAGCAAGCTGGAGGCGACCATCAACAACCTCAAGACCGAGCTGAGACCTCTTCGCCAAAAGATGTCCTCATACGAAACCTTGGAGAAGTCCTTGGCGAGCGTAAAGGAACGCCTGGTGACCCAGGAGAAGAGTCTTACTCAAGAGCTCTCGGAAAAGGCCGAACAAGAAAAGAAAGAGCTGGTCCGGGAGATGATGGAAGACTCTGCTCAAATCCAGCGCATGACTTGGGGCCGCCTCTTCCCCAATGCCGACTTTGCCTCCTGGGAAAAAACGTACCGCCAGTGTTCTGATAGATATAATCAAGAGATCCTGGCGGCTGCTGAGGAAGAGGCGCTGGAGGAGGAGGAGCAGCCGGTAGTGGCGCTTGTGCCGCTTGGGGGTAATACATCGAAGAAGGATGTAGCTGAAGCC